TGTTGTTGGATTAAAACAAGCCCTGAGTCCTCGCAGAAGAAAACGTCACGTCTGAAATCATTAGATGTAAATCACTAAAGGTTAGAGGATGTATCTCTGCATTATGTAATACAATCTCCATCAAAAGATGTCGTTTTCAGTGTGCGGGCTGCGGACTGCGGGCTGCGGGCTCCGTGGTCGTGATGTCATGTTAAGACCTTATTTTTACGCCCTGCGTAAACTCCTTTTAACGACAAAAACGAATGACATCAGCCTTGTGTCTCCAGCGGTGGTCTGGAGCGTTGGTTGTGCACGTCCTCAGAAATTTAGATGCAACATACATATAACCACTAGGAGCAGTGTAGAGCTGTTCGGTGATGAGACCGGCTGTGACATCATCGGAGACACCACAGAGACGCTACAACATGGAGGAAAGTTAACAGATGAAGTCCTCAACTTCCCGCACCATGATGAAGAAGAGCTGACAAACTGTTTCTCTGCATTTCAAGCAGACAAAACGCCACCTGATGGATGCCATCCCTGATTTCACTTCTCTCTGTTCATTTCAAACACAAAACGATGAAATGAGGATCCGGTTAAAAAATGAACAATCAGAACAGCAGCGGTCCGCCTGCGTTAAAACGATGAAAGGGGAACAAAGACATTTCCTCTGTCACTTAAGAGCTAACTTCGTCCCTGTCATCGTCCTCTCTTCTTCCTGCAGTATCTTTTCAGGGTCCTGGTCGTCATGACGATGTGACAAAAGATTCAGTATTTCCAAACGTATGAAACCTTTACTAAAGAATAACTTCACAAGATCCTCCACGTTCCTCATCTTCTGATCTATAGACTCAAATAAAGACTTTAATACTCCTCCGTTTATCACTTCTGTTTCCTGTAATCTTTCTTGGTTGATAAACGATGAGGCGTCCGATGGTTGACTCAGAGGTGACATCAGGTCGTCGGGCAGCTGATTTAATCTGTGTGTCTGAACTGCTGTTGTGTTTTCACTTTTTTTTTTTCCTCCTGACAAGTGCCCAAAATGTATTTAGACCAATGACAGAGGCTCAGGGCGGCTTACCACTCAATAAGTCTGGCACAGGCGGCCGTGTCCTCGGGAAACTCTCGTCCAGTGTTGATTCCAGAGCGCGTGCAGCGCGTCTGAATGTGACCATAAGACAAAGGAGCGCTCCTCTGAACACAAATGTGATGTGTCAGCGATATATTTCAGGGAGCAGATTTAAGACTCTGAATCCAAAATATAAATGTAGATCAAAACAGGAAATGATTTTGAAAAGTTGAAAAGTTTTTTTTTACAGTTAAGTTAAGAACGTCCATTTGTGGTCTTTTTTTTTTAAGTATGGTGGAGCATCACAAAGACTAACATGGCGTCTCCGGCTTCAGTCATCCCTGCAGCCTGATGATGACTGTGTGTGTGTGTGTGTGTGTGTGTGTGTGTGTGTGTGTGTGTGTGTGTGTGTGTGTGAAACACAGAGGCCTGAGTGTAACGTCCATGTTTCCCCATGCTTTAGATTCAGTCATAAGAATTTGAAACCAGTGAGTCTTCCGTGTGATTCTGAGGTTTGAGATGGATGAATAAATTAAAACTTGTTTGCTAACTTTTTTTTTTTTTAACCCTCAGGCTCTCAACGGCTTCGTCATGGTAGTCACAGCCAGCGGGACCATCTTCTACTCCTCTCACACCATCCAGGACTACCTGGGCTTCCACCAGGTAACGTAGCAACAAGATCCTCTTCTTCACCTCTCGCCCATCCAATCAGATTACACAATCAAACTTTCAAACAGAACCAACCAATGGGGTAAAGACAGACGCTGTAGTTCAGCCCCCTGACACACAAACACGTTTACATCACATCGTTGCATGCTACCAACCCCATCATTCATATTCTCAGTGTTGGAGGTGCACGTCTGAGTCTGAACAGCTCGAGGCTCTGTGAGGTCATTGATGGATGGGTTTGGTTGGATGGGTTTGGTTGGATGGGTTTGGTTGGATGGGTTTGGTTGGATGGGTTTGGTTGGGTGGGTTTGGTTGGATGGGTTTGATGGATGGGTTTGGTTGGATGGGTTTGGTTGGGTGGGTTTGGTTGGATGGGTTTGATTGGATGGGTTTGGTTGGGTGGGTTTGGTTGGATGGGTTTGGTTGGATGGGTTTGGTTGGGTGGGTTTGATTGGGTGGGTTTGGTTGGGTGGGTTTGGTTGGATGGGTTTGGTTGGATGGGTTTGATTGGATGGGTTTGGTTGTCTGGGTTTGGTTGTCTGGGTTTGGTTGGGTGGGTTTGATTGGGTGGGTTTGGTTGGGTGGGTTTGGTTGGATGGGTTTGGTTGGATGGGTTTGGTTGGATGGGTTTGATTGGATGGGTTTGGTTGGATGGGTTTGGTTGGGTGGGTTTGGTTGGATGGGTTTGATTGGATGGGTTTGGTTGGATGGGTTTGGTTGGATGGGTTTGGTTGGGTGGGTTTGATTGGATGGGTTTGGTTGGATGGGTTTGATTGGATGGGTTTGGTTGGATGGGTTTGGTTGGATGGGTTTGGTTGTCTGGGTTTGGTTGGGTGGGTTTGTTTGGATGGGTTTGGTTGGATGGGTTTGGTTGGGTGGGTTTGGTTGGGTGGGTTTGATGGATGGGTTTGGTTGGGTGGGTTTGGTTGGATGGGTTTGGTTGGGTGGGTTTGGTTGGATGGGTTTGGTTGGGTGGGTTTGGTTGGGTGGGTTTGGTTGGGTGGGTTTGGTTGGGTGGGTTTGGTTGGATGGGTTTGGTTGGGTGGGTTTGGTTGGGTGGGTTTGGTTGGATGGGTTTGGTTGGGTGGGTTTGGTTGGGTGGGTTTGGTTGGGTGGGTTTGGTTGGGTGGGTTTGATGGATGGGTTTGGTTGGGTGGGTTTGGCTGGATGGGTTTGGTTGGGTGGGTTTGGTTGGATGGGTTTGGTTGTCTGGGTTTTGGTTGGATGGGTTTGGTTGGGTGGGTTTGGTTGGATGGTTTGGTTGGTTGGGTTTGGTTGGGTGGGTTTGGTTGGGTGGGTTTGGTTGGATGGGTTTGGTTGGGTGGGTTTGGTTGGATGGGTTTGGTTGGGTGGGTTTGGTTGGGTGGGTTTGGTTGGATGGGTTTGGTTGGGTGGGTTTGGTTGGGTGGGTTGTGTGCTGGGAGCAGCACGGGGGTCCTGTTTGATCCTTGGCTCGACTTGCTGCATGGTTTCAGAGTCACAGGCTCGAACAACAGCAACATAAAACACCTGACCTATTTATAGCTTTGGCCTTTTGCATGAAGCAGCAGTCACAGCAGCGGGCTGCAGAGAACACGACTGAGCCCCACTGAGCAGCAGCACCAAGACCCTCTGGATCAAAGGGTGCTGATCTGAACACCAGAGTCTAGAAGAGGGACCACATAGGGAGTTTTTTATACAGCTGGTGATGTGTCATTGAAACAACAGACACATGAAACTACTGTTTCTAAAGCTGTAACTGAAACATAAGAGTTCTTCTTCTGTGACTGCAAACACATTAAAGCATCACACCCAGGTACCACGCAGACCTGTCATCCTGTGCAACACACAAAACATCAGAGACACCGACCAGTTATACAACGAGATCTCCAGAACACCTCTAGACCTGATGTGCACCAGGAGACACGGGGTGCAAAATAAAAAAGACCTGGAAAGCAGTGCTGGCAGTCAAATTAATCCAGATGCAGCTCCTGGAGTTGGTGAAAGTAGACATCTTCATCAGAATCAGAATCAGAATCAGAATCAGAATCAGAATCAGAATCAGAATCTGGGTTTATTACCAAGTACATTTACACATACAAGGAATCTGACTTGGTGTATTGGTGCTAAACAATTAAGAAAAAATGAGAAAAACTCTTAGTGTGTGTAACTACTCACAGAGAGCATGTAAGGAAAATACATTTTTAAAGTCCAGTGGCCGTTAATGTAACGCATAAAGAACAGTTCGGCATTCACATTACTTGATGTTTTACTGACTGTGGGGCTGATGAGAGTCTGGGTTATGTGGGAGGAGGTGGGAGGGCAGGGACATTGTTCATCCTCATAATAATGAACATCCAGGCCTTTACACTGTACCTTACACACAGCAGCAACATAGAAACACACAAGCTACAACCAGAAATGTATGTTATAATTGTGCACACACTCTGTTTGAAGCATTCACTCTCTCGTTTCTCTCTCAGACGGATGTCATGCACCAGAGCGTGTATGAACTGGTCCATACTGAAGACCAGCAGGAGCTCAGGAGGAACCTGCACTGGGCTCTGAATCCTCCTGCTGCTGCTGCGCCCGCCATCACCCAGGACTCCCCCCAAGGTGATCCCTCTCCTGCTCCTACTTAAAAACCCAACAATAAAAACAGATTCTACAAGGACAGAATGTCAGAGCTGCAAGTTTTCTCTTTAACAGCAAACAGACAAAATAAAGACTGCAAGAACAACAGGGGTTTTGTTTAGGGAGGCTGGATTTGATTCAGATTCTCTTTATTGCCTCACGAGGGGAAGTTTGTTCTGCACACAGAAGACGACAGCTGCTCTTAAAAGCATCAGTACAAACTGAAGGGGAAACAGTTCACAAAGAGCCACAAATTCAAAAACATGCACGATCACGTTTTGTTTTCATCGGACTCGACGGACAACAAGTGGACCCTGGTCAGACCTGAGGGGTCTACGACTGATGTAGGGAGGGAGCAGGTCAACACTTTATGAACAAAAACAAAGCATTCACTCTCTCCAATTCAAAGAGAAAGAAGAGGAGTGTAAAATGAGTTGATCTACAGGAGCTGGTGAACTATCTCGACGCAGCATGTTGGATAGCTTGAAGATGGTTGAGGGAGGACTTGTTGAGGAAGGGAATGGGAGGAGTCTGCAGGGCAGGAAGTTACAGAAGCATGAATTAGCATCTCTCACTCAGCTTGTGAGACGACAGATTTCAGTTAAGCAATATTTCTTAAGTGACAGAAACATTAGATCAAAGTCAGCATATTTCTACTAACCAAACTTCAAATTGAGGATTTAGTCTGATCCCTCTGTGTGAATATTCTGCATGCCTTGTTAAGTTAAGTGTCTGTGTTTCAGTGATCAGTGTCAATGCTGGATGTTAAACACACTGCAGAGACGTCCACATCAGAAGGTTAAGTACGCACAGTTCAGGCATTAAGCTACAAGGCCTCCTCCAGTCAGGTCACATGACCCTGTAATCTCCACTCGGGTTTAGGAGGTGAAGTGGTCCCAGATCTGTGTTTTAAGATGCTTATGTCTGTATCATTTGTTTCTCGGTGTGTTCAGACCGACTCCTCTCTTACGGTCTCCCCTTTAACAGAAACAAACGCTGTCGCTGAGCGTCAGCTTCAAACCTCGTTACATAACTGCATTTATTCATGAAACAGTGGAGGGCTGCTAATGCTACGAGACAAGTCCAGGGATAAACAAACATGGCTGCCTGATGCTGCAGGATGATCCAGGAGTCATACAATATGCTCTTAATGTTCGTGTCTATGATATCATGAAGACGCTCCAGCACACACAGAGGTGAGAAACAGGGGAGGAAAAGTCTTTAAGTCGCCAAGCGAGTTCATGAAACAGTGATGGAGCTCATAGCTGTGTGCAGGATTTTCATATTATGAAGTGGGTGTTGATTTGAGATATCTCCATGACGATCAACGGGAGAGAGGAGGCAGAATACTTCCTGTTCACTTTCACCTATTCATTGTTTTACTAGCTCAGCACGGTAACTGATATTAAGAGATCAATGATGAATACAACATTTTGCTCCCAGGCGCGCTGGCCTTCTGATGCGTTGTAATCCAGTAGATTTTTAACCTTATGTAGTATAGCAAAAAATTTTGGGAGATTTTAGATTAGATATAACTTACATGAGATTTCCTTTTTGTTTTGTCAACAACAGAGATGGAACCCGACAGCAGCTCATCCGTGGTCACCTACAAACCCGAGCAGCTTCCTCCAGAGAACTCATCCTTCCTGGAGAGGAGCTTCGTTTGTCGCTTCCGCTGCCTCCTGGACAACTCATCGGGCTTCCTGGTAGGTCAAATGCTCAGAAAGGAAGAGAAAGGCCAAAGGTCGTCTGTTCCTTCTAGAAATGGAGACAGTTTTTGTTCCAGCACTCTGTGATGTATGAACTCACTGAAAAGCTAAATTCTGCTTCCAGGCGTTGAACATCCAGGGCAGACTGAAGTTCCTGCATGGACAGAACCAGCGGCAGGAAAATGGAGGAAAGGCCCCACCTCAGCTCGCTCTCTTTGCCATTGCGACTCCTCTGCAGCCTCCGTCCATCCTGGAGATCAGAACCAAGAACATGATTTTCAGGACCAAACACAAACTGGACTTCACCCCGTTGGCCTGCGATGCAAAGTAAGGAGGAGCATTTAACTCTTTCTACATCACCCTAAAAATATGGATGTAAGTTCTATGTTGTACCATGAACTAGGAGGATCTGAACACTGATGATGGTCCTTTTTGTCTGCAGGGGGAAGATAGTGCTCGGGTACACCGAGGCAGAACTCAGGGTACGAGGATCTGGATATCAGTTCATCCATGCTGCAGATATGTTGTACTGCGCAGAGAACCACGTCAGAAGTAAGTTGCATTGGCACCGAATGTACCTGAATGAATCTGTCTCTGTTTTGAGGTTGATGGAGCTTCTTTGTAAAATGCCTCTTTATTTGTGCCGTCTAACAAAAACAACACATGTCAAAAAACATATTTCAAAAAGGGTGACGACTACAGCAGTGTCATTTTAGCCGACTGCATCTTTTCCTTTAATCCTAATTTACATCTCTTCACTGAGTCTGTGCTCTGGGTGCACTGCAGATATGGCCTAGCATGGGACTCTGTATGGTAGCCTTAGCTGCAGCCTGATGTTCCCCTCTCAGAAATAAACAATACAAGCCTTTGTTACTGGAAACTCAACAACTGTGATTATTTCAGCTTTTCCCAAAAAGGAAACATGTGTATATACTGATGATGGTTCATCAAGAGCAGTACAATGCATTGTGTATCCAGTAACAATCCACCGCCCTCTGCTGTTTACCCGTCAGACATTTGTTGCTATTTCAGTCAGTGCTGTCAAGAAAGCTGAGGAGTTGTGATCCAACGTGGTCAGAGAGTTCAGACCGCTTTTGTAAGTAATCCCGTTGGATTACGGAGCAGATTGAGCAACGGCGCAGAGCTGCCAGAGGAAAGGATAGGGCCCGCAAATCCACTGAGTGAGCAAAGCATCAGAGATGATCCATGCAGAAACACAAACCTTTTAGAGGTCAGATATGTTTACTGACCACTCCCGACACACAGCAGTGGGAGGGTCAGTCCAGCTGTGTTGTCCACTTCCATCTGTAAGTCTCTTTACAACCATTGGTAAGACTTCAGTGGACTTCAATGGACCTCTCTGCTACAGGCTTGCACTGTTTGTTATTGTTCCTCAGATGTTGAAGTGCAATCAGCAGGTAACAACTTCCAGTAGTTCACAATGATTTGCACAATGATCAAACGTGTGTTAAAAAGTACACCATTAGAGATTTTAGAGACACAAACATGCACAAAGAATATAGTTAGAGTATACTAACTCTGCAAAGAAGTTATGATACTGATGCTGTCCGTCTGTTTGAGCAGGAGTAGAGTAAACTACTGCTCAGATATCTTATGAAACTTGGTGGAAGGTCGTAGCATTCGCCAAAGAAAAGACTGAAATACAAACAACAGATAGGGCTCAATAACAAGCAAACATATCGACCACATTTTAACACCAATAAAAAAATGGATGGAGATTATACTGGAAGAGATAGACAACCATTTTTGGCATGATCCTTGTACTGTCTGAGAGACAAATTTTAAGTCAAGTCACATTTACTTATAAATCATGTTTAAGAACTGCAGCAGCATCTTCAATTTACAGGAAGAAAGGAATCAGGAAAACTTGTGAGAAACAGACTCAAACACTAACTTGTAAAAATACAAGATGGGACTTAAAAGAGTCATCAGAGGGGGCTAGACCTGTTGGAGTGCGGGGAGGCTGTTCCACATTTTAGGGGTTTTGTCTTCAAAGGCACGATCACCCTTGTGCTCGAGCTCGAGGGACGTCCAGGAGGCCCAGGTCTGACGACCTCATGGGCCTAGATGAAGTGTACGGTCTAAGGAGTTCGGTTATGTACGGGGGAGCCAAACCATTCAGGATTTTAACAAAACAGAATAGTTCAAATATGGCCTCAGCAGAGCTTTGCACTGTCGTCATCGATTATAAGCGTGTTTGTGTTCCATCTTTGCAGTGATGAAGACCGGAGAGAGTGGTCTCACCGTGTTCCGGCTTCTCACCAAGGAGAATCGCTGGAAATGGGTCCAGGCCAACGCCAGGCTGGTGTACAAGAACGGCAAACCGGACTACATCATCGCCACCCAGAGGCCTCTTTTGTATGTTCCTTTATGTTTATGTTATTAACCAGGAAATGGACCGGTTGTGCTCACTTTTGGACAAAACAGATTTTATGGTTACAGAACATATCAACATTTACATTTCCTGTGCTTTCATCTGTTCTGTGCAGGAAGTTCAGAGATTTTAAGATTCAATCCAATAATAGAATACTGTGAGAGTTTGTGAGAATGTTTTTACAAATGTATGTCATGCTTATAAGACATCATCAATCATGGAAATTGGGTACGAATCAAACCAGCAACTCTGCCAGCAGCCTAGTTTGGGACTTTGGATTTTCTTGTGTCATGACCCTTAAAAGTTATCATATTTCCTCATCTTTACAGGGACGAAGAGGGGGGAGAACACTTGCGTAAACGCTCCATGCACCTACCCTTCACCTACGCTACGGGTGAGGCTCTGCTCTACCAGTCCAACCATCCCATAGCAGGCTTCAGAGATGGAAGCCATGAGAAAAATGGCAGTAAGTCGAAGAAGAGTCGGACTGAAAGGTTGGTCAGGGACGGTCTCGACCCTGGCTCTCTTCTTGGGGCACTCATGAGTCAGGATGAATCAGTGTATGTTTGCCAGCCCGCCCTGGAGCCCAAAATGTCATTTAGCAGCTTCTTTGGTGACCAAATGGGCTTCTCTGACACAGAAGGATCCAGCTTGCACAGGAGCTGGGACGAGCCGAGCAATGGTGTGTTGGGTCCAGGTATTGCAGGAGCCAGCACCAGCTTCGACCCGCTGTTGGCTACTCTGGACTCGCTTTCGTTGGAAGGCCAGGGGGTTGTGGATTCAGAGGAGGGGGCTTGTTCGAATGGCGAGCTGTTTGGGGCTCTGGAAGGCCTGGGACTGAGTGCTGAGGACCTTGAGCTGCTCTTGTTGGATGAGAGGATGATCAGAGTTGAGATGGACCCTGAGCGAGTGCCCACCTTGGACGATCTGCTCACAAACGATGAGATCCTCTCATACATCTATGACACAATTGAGGGAAAGACTGATTCCACGGATCATGGAGTACAGGTGCCTCCCAGTACTTCTTCGGCAACAGCCACCACCGTTTCAGGATCTGAAAGTAACCCCACCCCTGATGCTAATGTTCAAATGCAGTTTCCTCACCATAAGCCTCCCTTGATAGGGCAGGCTCCCATCATCCAGCTGTCCCAGCAGATGCAACAGCACCTCAACATGCGACCAGGTAAAGTGGCACACGACTGGCACCAGAGTGACCTTTTGGCTAGTTCGGTAGTCAACGGAGACCTGCTGGGCCAAAATCAATCAGTAACCAACGGACAGTGGACGGCCCAAGGCATTCTCACCAGTGCAGGGATACAAATAGATCACTACAACACGCAACAGACTTTTTTCAATGGCAAAGCCTCGGAGCGGGACGGCAACCCTCATCAGCACCAGCAACCATCCACACTTCCTTCAGCAACAACAGCAGCAGCAGCTCCCACCCATGATGCAGAACCACCTCTCACAACAGTGCCATGCCAAACAGAAGGCAACCAACCTCAACGGACTGTGTGGTTTGTCCAGCACAGAGAATTCGGCAGGGAAATCCCAGTGGCAGGACTTTGGATTCAGCGAGAATCTTGGCAGCCAGTCCTGCCTCGATAACAGCCAAAAACCTCTGACAAACACCTCACTAGATTCTTGCATGGATTATAGCATGCCTGATATTGACAATATGGAGTACTCTCTAAGTGGAAGTGGTATGTTTGGGAGGAGCGCACAGCAGCATGTGGCCGAGTCCACGGTGTCATCCTTCCAGGGGATGAACCATAAACGGCAGCAGGAGCAGATCCCGGTTCCGTTGGCCCAGGTCATCTCCAGCCTGTCGCAGTGCCCTCCACCCAACGCCTCCCTGGAGCAGATCCTGGGAGTGAGCAAGCCCTGTCGGCAGTTGGACCACTTTGGTGTGGTGACCTCTGAGATTCCTCACGAGCCAAGCCCCAATAAGGTAAGACCGTTGAAACAAGGAGAACTGGTTTCATATAGAAATCATGACTAGTAACAATTAGATCTTGGAACTTTGTTTTGAGGTTTTGAAACAGTTTCTGTCACAGGGAAATAGAAGTTCAAAGGACTTCATTTACAGCTTATCTAAGACTTCTACTGGAAACCAAAGAGATATCAACCTGCCTCATACCCGTACTGTTTTAGAAATGGTTCTCAAACGTTTTCAAAAAGCTTTGTTCATTATAGAGTATTATAAATATCGTGTCTTTAGCCATATAGCCGTGGAGCTCCAGGGGTCAGTCCAGATGTTGGTGCTCCATGATTAGTTGGAGAAAAAGGAAACATTTTTTACTGTATTTTCATAACCCGTTCAACATGGAGTATTAATAAGTATTTGCCGGTTCCAGATTTAAAAATGTGAGAATTTGATGCTTTCTTTGTTAGAAAAGTTGTTTTGGGGGTTTTGGATGATTGGTTAGTGCTGTTGCCTCACAGCGAGAAGATTTTGTGGGTTCTCTCACTTGTCTCTCCGGGTACTCCGTCTTCCTCCCACAGTCCAAAGACATGCTCGTTAGGTTAACTGCTGACTCTAAATTGTCTGTAGGTGTGAATGTGAGTGTGGCTGGTTGTCTGTCTCTATATGTCAGCCCTGTGATTGGCTGGAGACCAGTAGCAGAGAGAACTCCCATGGCAATACGTTCTGGAAATGTATTTCTATATTGGCTGAACCATTCAGTGAAACCGGTACCAGACGTTCATGCTCTGCTTCTTTTAGCTTAACGGGAGGTCGTGTTGGGGTGAAGGGGATAACACTGAATATGCAGTCATTTTACTCCGTATGTTTCTGTAATTTCTTTTTTGATATTTTTATTTTTATTTTCAAATATATCACAAAAACATAAACAACAACAGCACAAACATAGGACAGTCAGAAAGGAAACCTGTCCAATCCCCAATTCCCAGAGCACTGGATCATCAGCAAGCCTGCAGCCAGACAATGACAAGAAGAATAAACTGACATATAAACAAATAAATAACAGACAGAAAATAATAAGGAAAAAATAATAAAACAATAAAACTGTTACATAGTTATGTTGTTAGCTTTCATATCTTCAACAAAAGATAAAAATGGCTGCCAAGTGATATAGAATTTCCTGGTGCAACCTCTTATAGTATATCTGATTTTGTCTAAGTGGGTTAGAAACATGACCTCCCTTATCCATTGGCCATATGTCCTTCCATTTAGATAATATTAGTCTTCATGTTTCTGTAATTTATAATCCAACTTTCTGTCTGTAACATCCTCTCGTCTCGTGCAGATGGAGAACGGCTGCATCCTGAACAGTACGTACCCAGGAGGATGTGCTCTGCCCAACATGAACGGAGCAGCGCCCCCTGCTGTGCAGATGCCCGTCCCCGACACTCTGTCCAGCCTCCCCGACCCTCCAGCCACCGGTTTCTACCTCTGACCATCTGACCAGGAACAGTCATGCAGCAGGACTCTGTTAAAGGCCAGAACGCACTCTGGCAACGACTGGGCCAGCCTTATTTAGAAAAACTCAACGAACAGAGCGGAATTAACGTACGCCTAAATGTTCTTTCTTTCAGTGCAAATTTGTAATATATATATTTTTTGTTTTGTTTGTGAGGGAGGGAGGGAGCAGGATCATTGTGTTGTATTTACAGTCATATTATCATACGAGTCCTTTGTTTACAATAATGCAGTCAAGAGCGCTCAGTTGAGTTTATTTAAGAGACAGCGCGAGGTGAAGACGAAGGTTTTTAATCTGCGTTCAGATACAACACGAAGCTAACGATTTAGAGGAAGCTAAATGAGCAACACGACGGAGGATTCTCTACAGATGAGTTCAGGTGAACGCTTTCGACCAGAGGACCTCAACTCGTCTCGCCTCAGGACCCGCCGGCAACAAAATATTTCAACCAATCAGATTCATTTAAGCCCCGCCCCACCAGTTGAAAACCACTGGTTTAGATCTGTGCAGATTTTCTTTGTCGTCTTATATTGAAAAGTTTTGACGACTAAACGAGTCGTCTTAACTTCGATGTTCAGAAAGTTCATTTTATTTTATTTTACATTAAACCCCCAAAAACATAAAATCTACCATAATGCACCTGTGACGTGGAAGCAGACAAACAACGAGGAAGAGGTCGTCTGAACACGTGGATTATTGATATCTGAGCGAGCGCCGCGTGCAGTTTGTTCTTCTTTCTTTTTTTGTTTCATCAGAAATTTCTCAGAATTCAAAATTCGGTTTAGGTTTAAAGTCAATCGATTCGTTTGTATCTGAACGCATCACAACACACACACACACACACACACACACACACACACACACACACACACACACACACACACACACACACATTACACACACACATTACACACACACACACACACACACACACACACACACACACACACACACACACACACACACACACATTACACACACACATTACACACACACACATTACACACACACACACACACACACACACACACACACACACACACACACACACACACACACACACACACACACACACACATTACACACACACACACACACACACACACACACACACACACACACACACACACACACACACACACACACACACACACACACACACACACACACACACACTCACACACACACACACACACACACACATTACACACACACACACACACACACACACACACACACATTACACACACACACACACACACACACACACACACATACACACACTACACACACACACACACATTACACACACACACACACATACACACACTACACACACACTCACACACACACACACACACACACACACATTACACACACACACACACACATTACACACACACACACACACACACACACACACACACACACACACACACATTACACACACACACACACACACACACACACACACACACACACACACACACACACACACACACACACACACACACACAGACACACACAGACACACACACACACACACAGCTCCATCTTAATTTCAGGTTTTCTTCGATCGGCGTCATCGTGACGTTAGCATCATACGCTCATGTTTTTTTTTCCGCCATGCTTCCAGAATGTATCCTCTCAGCGTTCGGTGATTTCTCCGGCGAGCGCTGAGATGAATCCGTTTATGTTTGAAAAAAAGTCTAGAATATTAAAACGTCTAGAAATATCCTGCACTTTATTTCAAGCAGCCGCTCAATGCAGACGCCGTCAGGGAGCGACGTCTTGTTGTTTTAAAGAAAGATGGACCGGTTTGTGTTTTGATTTAGAGGAACGTCTCAGGTGAAGGGTTAATGTCCTCACAAACACTTCAGTACAACTTCATTTTCATCTGTCTCCACTTGAACTTTGAGTTTTGTTGTCAATGATTTTTCTGGATTCTTTGTTCAAAGTCGACTCGACTAGAAGACGTCACTCCTCTCTATTTATTCATGTCCTGCAGCAAGTAAGCATACTCGATTGTTTTGAAGTCGATATGTAAGACAAAAACAAAAAAAAGAAAATGTACGTCTTCTTCTTCTTCTTCTTCTTTCTTCTTCTTCTTCTTCTTCTTCTTCTTCTTCTTCTTCTTCTTCTTCTTCTGTAGCTCAGCCGTGGATGTACTCGCTCTCTCGAGGGAAGCAGCCATAACAAACAAAAAGCTCCCCGAGGGTCGGAGGAGAAGTCTGACAGTTTGAGAAACGTGTTCCTCGTCTCACTCAGATTTACAAACAGGAATAATAAAACATATTTTAAATTAATCGTCTAATCTGCTTCATCAGCGGCGAAGCCCTCACTGAAACGTACAAATTAAGAATATTTACACTAAAATATCTAAATTAATTTAAAATGGATTAAACCTGTTTTATATATTTTTTTGTTTAGTTCTTACATCACTTTAAATATTTCTAACAGTTTCCAAAGCCAGAGAAATCCGTTATTTTAGAGTTGTAACGGGACATGGCGGCCGGCATGACAGACCTGACATGTTTACCGTTGCCGTGGAAACACTGGATGTTACATCAAAGGAATTGTGAGCTGCTTCTGTTTCTGCTGCTGTGACAAAAACGTCATGTAAATTATACTCGGATACATCAGCTCGTCTGTGAACATATTCTCTTCCTCAGGTCGGTTTCGCCCGGTCGTCATGACTACGGTCAACTCGGAGGTCGAGTAGCAGCCTCAACATCATCTTTTGTTATTGTTTTGATTGAGAGCCCCCTGCTGGTGGAAGTTACAAACTGTGTGATTAGGTGGGAGTACTTAACTTCCTGTGTGCTTTTATTTTGAAATAAAGAAACAACCTCCTGGTAAGATGGAAGGTCAGGACATCGGTTACTTCTAACGTCTCTTAAATGTCATCCACTTGCGTCTTAGCCCCTCCCACCAGACATGCACAGAGAGCAGCGAGGAAGACGAAGAAGAAGCAGAAGGAAATATGTTTTTAAAGAGATATCGTCCTCCATGTTTGTTTTTCTTCTGAAGTCACGTTTGATCGTGTGAGTGTCTGTGAGATCTGGTGTCTGTGAGATCTGGTGTCTGTGAGATCTGGTGTGTGAGATCTGGTGTCTGTGAGATCTGGTGTCTGTGAGATCTGGTGTCTGTGAGATCTGGTGTCTGTGAGATCGTCACAAACAGCCGGTGTGGGCGCACCAGATTTAGCTAAAAGCTACGTTCCATCTGTAGTCCGTTGCTCCTGGATAACAGGTTGGCTGTAATTGGCGACCAAAATGGGAGAAAGGGGGAAAAAATCTGATATAAATTTATGAAAAAGGAAAATGTGGAAACTAAGGCACGTTCCCGTTCAGAGGATTTTGATGACAAACATCGGTCTCGCTGTCCTCTCCCACGTCTCGTGTGTGGCCCGCTTTACTCCGTCGACCTTAAATCAAACACGTTTCTCCAAACTGCGGACCTTTCCTTCTTAATGGTAGAAACTCCTCCGGCCTCAGGTCAGCGATGTCGGTCTCTGCGGGGTCGCTGTGCGGTCACAGAACGACGAACAGAAAAAAACCAAATGTGAGTGTTAGATCTCTCCTGGACGGACGCAGTTCTGAATGTTTCTTGTACATACTTTAGACGGCCGAGTTGGAACTTCTTCGTGGAGAAGAGATGCTGAAAAGAGATTTCTGTTTGAATTGTTGGATTAATGTCGTCGCTGTCTGAATATTAATGTTCTCTGTTTTTATGTTTGAAATGTGAAACACACGTGGTTACCCGTCGAAGAGTTCTTCTCTTTTTCTTTTTACTGCAGCAGAAATGTTTGCTTCTATTTAATATGATCGATGTGACTTATTAACAATGTGAAAAAAAGAAGTGTACATAACGGCGCCCGAGCCGTGACAGATACAGGTATGTACATAGCGGGACGTGGAGTCACTCGTTTCAAGCACTATTTTTAAAACACTTATCAAACTCTTTGGTTGATTCTTTTTTTTTTTGTCTTTTTTTTATTGTAAATATTCGTCTCGTCACTAAACACTGGACTCTATGACAGCCTGAAAACGGTGCCATATTTCTGAGACTTGTTAAATAGACTTTAACGTTACGGAGAGTTTAATTTAGTCTTTATTCGTTTCGCCACGGCTAACGCTAACATGCTAACGGGTGTAGATGTCACAGATTTGGCCCCCGACCTTTGACTGCTTGTTTTCAAATGTTTTATTTTTCTTCCTCTGAAATAAAAAAAAGTCTTCAATCACAGTTTAAACACACACGAACATCTTTGGAGTTCTTATATCTGCGTATATATAAACTCAAACACTCGTACGTGTCCCTCTCTGAGCCCTCAACTTTTGTACTCACTCAGACAGGAACCAGCGGGGGGGTTTCCAACCTGTGTCCGTGACCTCTAACTGTGGACCCCCGACATGTGACGGTGCTATGTGTAGCATTTGAACATCAATAAATCATTACCACATGAAACCCTGAGGAGTCTGAATCATTACTGACCAGAGACTGTATATCAAGATGGATGACTCGTCTTCTCCTTCAAATGTACACAAGTGAAGCCAAAACACCAACCAAAAATACCATCAATGAGGAACAGCCATGTATCTGTTTACAGTGAGTCACACAGAGGCTGCACTCTGGCGTTACAAAATGCTCTTCAGCCGAGGTTTTTTAAAAATAAATCACACGAAGGGTTTGAACATTTACAGTAATAACGTCGTGATGCTGATTTGTACTTCAAAATGTAGACTCAGTCCTGAATGTCCTGGATTTGTTTGGACCAGAGAAGGTAGGTGCTTTTAAGACACACCCCCACACGGCCGTTTTGGACGCCCCTCAGTTTGAGAGATATGAGAGCAGTTATCAGGTCAACAGGTGTTGCAGCGATGGAAGCGGTCAAGAGAAGTGGTTCAGATAGAAGTGATTGTACCCGACCTAAAAAGCCTCTGCATGTTTCTAATAAGCTCCACGAGCAGAAA